GCAGCCCGTCCACATCACCCCGCCTTCTATGAAGGCTGAGACATGTAGTCATTCGGGAAGACGTGAGGGCGCCCTTTCGAAACCTGCACAAGAACATAAACTGTGTCGATGCCATCTCGACCAATTGCCTTGCCAACAACACAGGAAACCTGGACTCCACTCCACTTCTTTCCTGCCGAATGGAGAAAAAGTTCGCGGAGGATCCGATTGCATTCAACGAATTTCCGCGGGGCCCGATCGGTCCCGCATATCATCGGTGGCTATAACAGCAGCCAAAGCGCCACGCGTTCGTGATGGGCTGGTTAACGGGGGGCGGCGAATGTGGCTGCACGCTGCCGCACACGCGCCGCTCCCCATGACTGTGCGCCTGTCAGCAGGAGAACCGAACCGGCTCCGAACCGTGTCGCGGCGTCCTTGCCCGACCCGTATCCGTCTTGGCACGCACTGCGCTGCGTCAAGGGTGGGCGGGCAGCAGCCGGCCGCGTTCAACAGCAACGCCTCGGCAGGGTCCCAACAAACTGGCTCTTTGTCTCGTGATCGAGCGCGCAAGGCAGACGGCTACAGACCACGACGGCGCGGAAATCATCAGTGCGCAAGTCCACGGGCGCGGGTTATCAATCCGATCGCGCGCGGCGACTGCTGCAAAAGGTACGAGATCGGCTTTCAATGCTTCGCGACCGCCTCTCAATACTGCCATACCGCATCCAAGCGAGGCACGCCCCGGCTTGCGTGCCCATAATATCGTCTCCGACTCGGAGAGCAATCACAACGGCGTTCGCCAGAGCCCCGGGTCGCTTGCTCACCTTGGATACGGTCCGGAGAGCAGAGTTGGACGACAGATCGGTCCTTTTCTCAAACCATTCCCTGTTTTCGGCCATCTCATCGTTCCGCATCTCCTTGTCGAGGCTGTTGCGCACACAGCAGAAGTTGACGAATGTAAGCAAACGACTCGAATCCAGGGGCAGAGGACGACGCGGAGTACTGCACGGCGTACTTACAAGACCGATGGGCTGACTGCGAGTGTGTGGATGCCTGTGTACACACCCAGGCCAAGCGCCGTTGCAAGGCAAGCCGCCAACGGCGCAACCTGCAAACAAGACCCCATCCCAATCAGTCCGTGGTGATGCTCCAGGTCGGGACAGAACCTGCCCGGAGGGTCTCTGCCATTGCCAGGGCTTACGTCTGGGGTCAGCCATATCTTGGTCCAGGCCTGGCGCAGCATGTTGTCTCTGCAGGAGGGCTCGTCCGGAACGGAAAGCCAACTCTGCTGTGGGCCCAGCAGCAGGGGTCACTGATATAGAATTCCCGCGCCGGTGTGACGTCTGCACCGTGACTCTGGGTTCAGCGCCCCTTCAAACCGGTAGGGTGCACTGAGCCAATGGATTCCTCACAAAGGAATCTCAGGAACGTTCCAGATCTACAACGTGCTGTAGGCCGGACTCGTGCCGCGCACTGCATCATTACGTGTTGTAACAGCGCGTTGGGGCGTTGGGTGTGGCCCCTTGTCGTGGTTACGTAACTGGCGACCTACTGCCCGACGCGATGCCAACCATTCGAGATTGACAATTCATGGCATTGTTCTGGTGAATGTGTGCGGCGCTGCGTACTCTTACAATGACGACCATCCAACGAGCATTAGGTTCACGAGGCCACAGTTCTCGCTGGGGTGTGGCGCTGCAGAACAATTTCAGTGCCTGACATTGCAACAGTGCGCTGTTTGAAACCAGGTTGGTGCAGGTTGTGTTTTCGAAAAGATTTGAATTCGAGCAGGTGCCAAGCCTCCGCGATAATCAACGCTCTGCTCATCTTTTTTTATGAAGTGGCGGTGTCTGGCGCCCTTTGCATCGGCAATGGTACTTGTGACAACCCAGTGCCAAAAAGGGGGTGGGGTAGATGGGAGGCGGGGTGGGGGTGCTGGTGGCAGAACCTTGACTTCCGTCAGAGTTTTGGAGCAGGCGTCGCACCTTTGCACACTGCAACTGCACAAAACGGTCGCGATGAAGGGAACACCGATCAGCAGTGTAGCAACCAAGACATAGCACACAATCTGTGCGACACTTGCAACAGACAGTGGTCTAGAGCAAGGGCCTCCTTAGTGAAGACACTGTTTTGAATTTTGTACGCTTTGCGTCAATGTGACGTTAAGCAACCCCCCACACACCCACACACACCCGTACAGCACACAACAACACAACGCGCAACACACAATACGTTGTTATGAAACAAGCACCTTTAGGGCATGTGGACGAAGTCGCTTGGGCTATTTTCAGTAATGCCCAAAATGTCCAATTTTACATGGCCCGTATAGCTATTTCACAAGTCGACATCTTTGGATCCCATCACGAGTCCAAGCACATCAAGACATTCTCCAACTGCTGAACCAGGAATCTTCCCCCTTTTGTTTGCAATACAGTCTTTCTGGCATTTCATTTCATTGTAGCTGTTTCACCTTGGCCACCCCCGGGGTTGTGTGACAGGCCCACCATGCCATACCACCTGCCAGGGATGCCGGGAGTAAGTGTCGTCAGACCTGTTATTTGCGTTAGGCACCCAGGACAGTACCAAGACCCAGAGAGTTCTGGCAGCCGTTCTGCTTTGCAGTTTGGGTTCATTGGATGACAGGCTGCGTTTGAGCATTGGCCAATCTATGGACTCTTGACACGAGTATCAAAACAAGCCGAGATCTGCGTTGTGGTAGGCGCCTTGGCGGGCTTTTATCAGTCGGCAGGTAGCCTCTCTGCTTAAGGAGTGCCCAAAGCCCGCCACCTATCTTGTGTAGCTCCCACCCTCCCTGGAAGTGTGGGTGGGGACTTCATTATTATATGAAGTACCAATTACCATGGTTTACCCCTTTGGCTTGTATGGCAAAGGGGCATTGGTGACAATGCTCTTCAACCCTTGGCCAATGTGTATGTCGGACAGGGAGAGAATCCCGTAATACAGAAGGAAAATGAACAACAGCCATCCCACTGTATAACATTCCTAAGGGCACAATTCACATCTACCGCAAACACACAGAAAAACTCCAAGCTCAACCTGTCCAATTGTCCATGGAGTTAGCGCCTGCGACTTGACTTCGCACGGCGAAAGACAACCATCCCCACGGCGATACAATGCGCCGTTTCCGCTGTTCAATGTCGAAGAAGTTGCAGAAGAAAGTATGGACCGAAAGGGAGCTGTCCTCAAGCAATCACAAGGGGCCTCTTCTCCCATCCGTATTCCGCCTTGTTGTCCTCGTACACCCGTTGCAGCTCCTTCTTGAATTTTTCGTGAAGCTCGCTCACCTTTTCTTCGAAATCAGGACTGTCCCATGCGACCTTCTCCACTTTCACAGGCCTCCCCACGACCATGTAGATAGGAACTTCGCGAGGCAGAGGGAGGCCCCACCTGTGGAAGTGGCAACAACACCATGTGAACTCATGTTAAGGACGTGCTGGAGCTTCTGGGCGGATCTTGTCATCTGCTGCTACTCGTGGGGCTGTCTCGCGATCATCGTGCAAAGACCTAGGCTTGCTTCACTTCCGTGGAGATTCTACACATGGGGACTGAACTCCACGGTTCAATGATTCCTACTATTACAAAGATCGATGAATGGACCACCGCAGTTATTTTCTTACCTAACCATACACACATAAAGGGTCCACATTGTGTCGAAAGGTTGCGAAATTTCAGAAAGACGGTGACCAATCAGTGCTGCATCTTACTTCTGCAGAATCGCTGCAGGAAGCATATGGGAATCCCCGCCTTGAGGAACGAGAAAGGCTGTGAGTTTTAGGTTGCACTGACCTCATAATTCTGATATCTCGCTCACAGGCATCAACCATAGCGTCCACATTCAGGTCAACACTGGAAGCTTGAATGTCAACACAAATAGATACTTCTGCAATGGATATGGCCACATGTGTTTCAGAATGAGCAATTGCAGGCATCAGCCTTCCCTCAGCTTGGGTACTCACGATTGCATCACGCGTCAAGGCCATACACTTGTCACTTGCCACTCTGACGGAAATGAAGATAACGTTGTGGAATTGCGCTGTGCATCATCGAAGATCCTGACATTCGGCGAAATTGCACACTGGGAAATTTGGGGAACTGCAGTTGAGATGTATCGTCCCAACACATGCATCATGGCTGTTTTAGAAAGGGCTTTATCACGATTTGCAGCCCCACTATGCAGACAATTCTATTCCTCACATCTCATCACATTATTGACTGTGTCAATACTTAATCCAGCACGACTTTTATGGCTGTCCAAATGCGCTTCAACCAACCTGCCAACAAGGACGCCCACACTCATGCGGAGTTTTCGGCATAGGGTCATGAGGGAACGTGGACCAATGCTCAGCACTCGACTGTTGCCAAAATGGTACACTGGCAGCAGGTCTACACCGTTGGCCAGGGCAATCTTGATGAAGCCTTTCCTCGAAGCAAGGAGAACCTGCCGATATTATGCACACCATCCATTCATGATGATGTCCGGTGTTTCCCCTCGAGGGTCGTGTACGGACCCACATACTACATCTCAAACAGCCACCAAACCATTGAAATAAAAGCAACGTATATTGCCATAAAAATTCTACCAAGCAGCATTAACTGTTCATGACAACTCTGTTCAAGGCGTAAGAATGTTGGCACAAGAACCGTTCGTGCTTCATGTGTTGGATAGGACAAAGCCCCCAAACAGGCAACAACAGCCCTGTAACAACTTGCAACGACTTGCGGAAACCAGATTAAACCTGAGCTAGAGCAGGGACAGCAGCAATGGCCATAAACCATCGTTGGATCGACCCCTTTTTGTCTTTCGTTTGTATGCTGGGAAGAGTTGCACAATACATATAGTAAGGTCATGTTGTGCACTCTGTTGGCAGGGAGCACCAATAAAACAATGCTTCCCAGGGATACACCAAAGGAGGAAGCGGTTATCAAGCGACACCAAAATGTTTGATGCGCCGACCTCTGAAATGCGCTGGACAGATCTATGCAACTGCCCATGACACGTTTCACTTTGCGTTCGTTTGCATTGGCTTTGTGTTCACAACAGTGGAACCACTTGGAACTTTGAGAGCAGCAGTCTGCTGGGCATTGGAGCATAGAAATTGTCCCAAGGATACATGTCTGGTGCCACAACACAGGGATTCGATGTAGCGGGTGAGGCGGCCGGCCATGAATGCACCAACACCTGAATCAGGTCCAATTGCATTCCTGGCGCATGTGACGGCAATTCTGCTGAGAGGTTGGCAACACAGGGAACAACAAAGATGACAACAGAGGTGGAGGTTTGTCACAGTGCAAACAGGGTTGTCCTCAAACAAATTCTGAGCAAGTGGCAGAGACAGTTGGCTGTGAAACAAACAAAAAAACGATCCCGGGGCCTTCATCACTGTCCAGGGCAAGTAATCAAAAGGAGAAGTCGTAGGCTGGGTTGGGAGGCTGGACTTCAGGCGTACAACAAGAAGCAATATGGTCCTGGAAATGACGACTTTTCCTGCCAACACTAGAAATGCGATGTAAACTGTAACTTGGGAATCGGGATGCCTTTGTGCTGCATGCCACACAGACCCTTCTCCTGTCCCTGCAACCCCTCCAGATGCGATACTGAGTGAAAAGAACTGGGCGATGCTGATTGAGCAATATTCTGTGAACTAGAGCCTCAGAGTGGAATGATGAACTGGAAAACACCAAGGGTCACACAGAATATGATACATTGCACACTGCATGATGAAATCGGACACAATTTGTCGGTGAATAAAGAGTTTAGATTTGCCGTAAGTCTCGTTCGCCAGTCACTGGTAGTTGGTATTCTGCCCAGCCCCTAACTTATTGAGGGTCAGAACATGGGTGCATATCAAAAGCCCAACAGCCAACTGTGTCTGATGAATAAACTGACTGCAATTCCCTCGCAGGTTCAATGGGGCTGCCAACGAAAGTGATGTGGAGGTTCATAATCTTTCTGCAGCCTTCGCACCTGTTCTTTTTCTTCATACTGCATGAACATCTCACCAACGCCTGTCCGTCACCACACAACATCATGGGTACAGATCAGAACCAATCGGAATGGAGTGCAATCTGCAAACTAAGAATGATGCTTGATGCTGTTGAGCACAGAGCTGTGAAGGGCCTTCCTACCTCCTACAACGCAAGCAACATCCGCCTTCTGCAGCAGCCTCTGAAAAGTCTTGCGATCTGCTGGTTGGCACCCCATCCAAGAGAACATTTGTTTGTAAAGGGGAATTTTGAACAGGACAGATGCCCCAACACTGTGAACACACCGACCAGGAAACAATCTGGGTATCAACGTGCCAGCCAGGAGTGGTCCGACTGGGTACGTCCCATGGGGGAACTCTGCAATGATGTATTTTCCATCAATGTCCAGCTTCTGCACAAACAAAACAGCTCCCTCAGCCAAGTTTCTTCTGGTGACGTTGCAGATAGGTTGAGACTTTGTGTATTCATTGAACAGCCCGAATGCCTCAATTTTAGCATTTCATGGCCCGCAAGACGTGAAAGCAAGCCATGCACACACAAGGACAGCAGAGAAGGTTCTTGGGGTTCAGTGACAAAGTGGTTGCCAATAATGGTGGGATTGGGAGGCAATGAGGAGTTGGCAACTTTGGCCACAAATGGAGAGCAGAACTCGCAAGACATTTAAGTTGTCCAAGGAAGGTATGAAGCAATCAAAGCTGCAACCAGGCTGATCCACTCCCAAAAAATGGAAAGAATGGACAAAATAGCCAGTGCACGCCCAGCGCACGTTCAGTTCAAGCTCTCTGGCCCTGGCTTGTCTTTACCTCCTCAAACTTGTAGGAAAAGCTGAAATATTCTCGCCATGTGTGGAACACGCTCAGATTCAAAAATTCGGGCCAGAAGACCTTCGTCGGAATAAGAACAGTAGAAAAGAGGGCAAGGTTCAGGAGGAGAACTGGGCGCCACCACGAGAAGAGTAGGAGGAGCAGGAGGATGTAGGGCCAAGCGGTATACACAAAGAGAGTCGTCATTGCCACAAACAGGCGGTGGGGCTTCATTTTTCCCTTCTCCGTTCTCTTTTCCGCGTACACGCGCTGCCCCACGGGCAACTTCCCGTTTTCTGGAATCATGTCCACAGCCATCTCCTTCGCAGCCAAGTTTCCGCACTGTTGGGTGGCAGTGCGCTGGTAACCCAACAGCTTGGAATGGTTTCGACGCCAACGACACGCCCGGTGTCAACAGGCGGCGACCGGCGTCTGGAACCTGTAGCAAGCAGACGCAGTCTGTGTTCAGGATCTGGGGCCATGTGCAATCGGCCGGGAACATGGGCATGGCACTGAGATGCCCGTTCCCAGTCGCGAAGGAGTATTCGTGATCGCTAGTTTGGGCAAGAGAGCATTGCCGCCTGCTTCACGGCGCAGACGCCTGATAATCCCGTGGCGACTTGAGACTTTCAGAGAGAAGGGATGCATGCCAAGATACGAAGATTCAATGGGAGGGGAATGGAGGCAGCTACACGAGGCCACAGAGGCACTGTCACCCAAGGAGGCACCCTGCGGGCAAAGAAGCGCCGCTCCAGCGACTGCAATGGGCGGCGCCCCTCCACATCCACGCAGCTCTCACCCTAGATCTCTCATATGCTGGCCACGCTCGCTCCCGCAAACCGGTCGCTTGGGCTGCGCCGCTCAACAAGTCACACGGCAACGTTGAGGACCCACGCGGCCTCACTGTTATCCCCTGGCCCTGGGGCGTGGCGACGTTTGTTGTGTGGTATTCTCCAAGGGTGTCCCTAAGAGGCCGCATCAACTCTCTCACCCTCTTGCTAGCCGTCGTTTCAACACGCGTCTGGTGGTCCCCGCGGCTCGAGGTAGAGGCCGGTCGAGCGGTGGCGGATGTTCCACACGCGCCTCCAGAGCGCAGTACAGGTTCTGGGGTGGGTGGGCAGACATTCTCGCCGCCACGAAAGGGACGGGAATCTGCAGGTGAATGATACAAGAGCCCTGATTTCATACCTATCCAGCGATCCCAACGAACACGTTCGACAGTGTGGAAGAACTGTTCAAGTCCCGGCATCTGCGCCTTGGGGTTGGGGACGGTGAGGGGCCACAATGGGGAGGGAATCAATCAATCGATCGATCAAAATCAAGCAATCAGTCAAGCGCAACATAAGAACTAAAATGCAGTGAAGGCCATGAGCGCCAGATGGCTACAGCAAAGTAACCACCAAGCAACTGTTTGATGTGCAAATTTGATCAGAGCTGGGTGTGGGCGTAAACGCACCGTCCAAGTTCAAGGGATGTGTCGCTCAGTTTGCATCTATGCTGTGGACTTTCGTAAACAAAAAGTGCCTGTGTTCTACAAAGCGAAGGCCAACGTTCTGGTACACAAGCAACGCTTAGTCTGACATGACGGTAGTTAAGTTTCTGGCGTTGTATTACAAAAACTGAAATCGAAGCGCTGGAATCAGCAATGAGCGAGTAAAACTGCTCCCTGTTCGTGACAGCTCAAAGGCATGCAACACAATTTGGATACCGCGATGACAACCTTGGTTCACCGCGATTGCTCATGGCGCTTCGGATATGCTTCGTCTGGCAAGGATTCAGAATGCAACTTGTCTTACAAACCAAACAGAGACAAACCTCTGAAAAACTCAAACTCTCCACAAACCTTGGATTGCACTGGTTTGAGAACCAATTCCCTCCACGAGGTTCATTACGAAATAACCTACCGCACGAATGCATTAAGTGCAAAACTGCTTCTAGCCATGTTCCAACTCACGACATCCTGGTACGATCACGGGGTCAAAATCACCAGTGCGAACTCATGACCGCCTGTCTCTTGCTTGAAGAAATGCCCAATGTACTGGAAGCCAAGCTGGACAAAACATACCCACGCCCAGAACCATTTCAAGAGCACATTTCAAGTCTTTAAAAATCAGACATCCACACATCAAACATGCTTCTCATCATTTCCTTGTTATCATAAAATCTAGTCAAGCAGCTACAACGTTGTAGCTGTGTTAACACGTCCCGGAGACAACTCTTTCTTTTTCTTGTCCAAAATATTACAAACAGTTCAGTGTCCAGGTGCCGCCTCGGTCTTAACACAAGAATTGCAAGCCTTGCGCCACCCAGCAAGAGATTGCAAAGGGATCTAAGATCCAAAGGGTATTCGCATCTAAGTGATGAATCAGTCTCAAAGAAGAGAAGTTCGGCACTCAGGGGGCCCCTGGCAGATCATTAGAACAAAACAAACGGACAGATTCGAGTTGCTTTCATTAATGACGCTGTCGTCTTTCTGTGCTTCAAAAATCATCAGGAAATCCTGTGATTCAATCCGGTGTGCACACCTCCTAGCAAATCGAGCATGAAGTCCAAATATGCAGTCAGCTGGGAGAAGAAAAATTGCACAGGACATGTTCATAAAACCGTCCATATTGCAGTCAGATCAGCTCGCATTGTTCCAACGTTCCATCGCAACAGTCAAACCTCCAAACCCTGGTCCGATATTTCAAGGGTATACAATCAGACCCTGATTTCACCAGTTCTGAGTCCATGGTGCCCCGCAACGTGGAAAGATCAAACAATTGAGTCAGGAGCACAAAGCAATTCATCTTGAGACCTTGACAAATCCACCAAAATCCGCACCGAGTGAGTCGCATTCTTGCATGTGACTTGGTGACTAGAGTCACCAAGTTTGGATTGACATGAAGTTGAAAAGCCACGGGATTCCTTCTGATGGCCGGTAGCACCATTCTGGGAAGTACCGGTAACCAGATCGGTTTCGTGGCAGCCGTTCTCCTCTGGAATTTGGACACATTGATCTACACCAGCCGGATTTGAACGTGGACTAAAGGATCTCTGGACTCCTGTCAAAAGCTTTAACGAAGCCAAGGTTTGGGTTGTGATGGGCGCCTTGGCGGGCTGTGCTTAGACGGCGGGCAGCCTCACTTCTGAATGGGGGGCAAAGACCGCCACCTGTCTTGTTTTGCTCTCAAATCCAATCCCTAGAAGCGTGAGCTTGAGTATAAGGATATCGTAAAGTATGGAGGTTCAAAAACAATATTCCTTTGGTTTGTATCGCGAAGCTGAGAGCATCTGTGTTGACACTCACCTGCACTTGCACAGAATCTACACTGGTGAAATGCACTCCAATTCACGTGGCCGGTGTGCGTGTCTGCCGGGAGAGGATCCCGCCGAGGAGAAACAGTGCGCTGCGCCCTCTCAGACCCCACGCGAGGGTCCACGACAGCGCTCGCCATTGGCGAAAGCCGCTGCAAACAAAAATCGCTCCGACTTGTCACCACCGGCCAAGCCGAGGCGGCAAAAAGCGCCACTAGCCGGTTCCTGTCAACCCAGCGCACCCCCAAGGGGCCAGGAGGCCAGGTTCATTCCCTTGTTGTCCTCCAAGAAAATCCGCTGCCACGCCAAAACCACCCCAACCCGCGCCAGGCGCCCCACCCTGATGATACCTTGAATCCGACCGCAGCACCGCCGGCGTGGCGCTCCGCGACAGCCAGCGCCGCGAGCAGGCCGTCGGCCCGCCTTGCCGCCCATCCGTCGCGGGGCGGGCCCCGTCGCCGAAGCCGACGACCGCGCGACATCCCGGCAGCCGGGTGCGGCCATCGCAATCCGGAGCGGCGCGCCCCCCGGCGGCGAGGGCGGCCCAGCGCGGAGGGCGAGCGAGGGGCGCGATCGCGCACCGATGGACACCCCCCACGGCGCCCGGCCCTGCGATCCGGAGGAAGACCTGTGCTGCGGGTGCCTGCCGCCCGCGCTGCTGCCGCGATGGATGCGGACGGGCCTGGCGCCCGCGGGCAGCCCCACGTACGCCCCGCCGCTGGTGGTGTCGCCCAACGACAGCTTCGGGTCCCCCGGGCAGGGCGCGAGCGAGGATGAACTGGGGCGGTTGCTTAACCCGGCAGCGGGGCGGCCGGTGGGAAAGCTGGTGCCCGCGCGGGTGGCCAGGGAACTGGAGGGCGTGGCGCAATCGGGGGGCAACGGGTCCGGCAAGCACAAGCACAGGTCGGGCAAGGGCGGAAAGAGCGGGGAGTCCAGGAGGCTGGGTGGGCGGGCGTCCAACTCGGAGCGGGGGCCGGGCGCCACCGATGACGACGACGACGACATCTGCCCCACCTGCCTGGAGCCGTACCCCGCGGACAACCCGAAGATTTTCGCGGCCTGCGGCCACCACTTCCACCTGTCGTGCATCTACGAGTGGCTGGAGCGGTCGCGGACGTGCCCCGTTTGCCTGAAGCCCATGAAGTTCGAGGAGCAGTCGTGATGGCGCCCCGGGGGCCGCTGGGGCCGCTTGCGGGACCCCCGCCGCTGGCGCACCCCTCCCCCCCCGCGCCATGGGCGGGGGCGGACAGCGCCCTGTAGCTGCCGTTGTCGCGACGGGCGCACGGCACCCTGTGCGTTTGGTGGCCATGGATGCCTGCGGCCCTTGGCGATGGGAAACTACCCGGGGCAAGCATCGAAGGAAACCGGCGCTGTCGCTCGGCCGCAGGCTTCGGCACGACGGGGACTTGGACGAATTGTTGACGGCCACCGGCCGGGCGGCCGAGGGGCCATGCGATCCGATCGGACGAGAGATAAACCCCCCCGCAGCTGTGCGAGCTGGAACCGGGCGTGGAGAGGACGGTGGTGGCGAATGGGCTCGTTGCTGTCTGCCTCCGAAGCGAGCTGCGTGTATATGTACCACCAGAGTGTATCAGTAAGAAACGGATGAACTGGACTTCCGGGGCTCGCGCTCGGCCTGAACTGGAGCCTCACGTCTGGAACTGATCCCTTGTGAGAGGACATTTTTTGCATTCAAGTGTCACGGTTTTGGGTGGGTTGGGGAGTGGGGGGTTGGGGAGTGGGGGGGTGGGGGTGGGGCCGGTATTGGGATTGGCTGCGTGCCAGTGCGGATGGCACATTTGGGGGGACCTTTGGACGACTTCTTAACTGCCTGCACAGGTAGGGGCATCTTTGGGGCCAGATGTGCGGGTTGGAGCGAGCAACTCTTTGGATCGGACAAGCTTGTGCATTCACCAGCTGGCGCGTGTCCTGGATAGCTGCCCATTCGCTTTGGAAGTTTTCCCACCCTGCAGCAGGTGCCTGTTGTCTGGGTCGAACCGTCAAGCATGAGTACACTTTTGGGAATGAAATGACGCTGGTCAGATCGAAACGCCACATGCCTCACCGTCTTCAGCCTAGAGTGTTGGGTGCTGGACTGTGACCTCCTGGTGGCCGCTGGTTGCCTTCGCTCATGGCAATTGTGTTTTGACAGTTAGTGCCATCAGCATCATGCACATGAATGTCTTGCCACATGGAAAGAGTGTCTGCAGCTGCATGTAGTTGAATGAGTTGCTTTCTAGGATGCATCTTGTGTTGCATCAGGATGTCAGGGTGCCCTTACAAATTGTGCCACCCAGCAATGCTGGGTATGCTTCACTGTGCTTTGTGGAAACATGTAGTGCTGGTATCGCTCGTAATTGTCAGAGCTGAGTACTGTGGATGGAGCAGAGGTGTGGGAAGAACTGCTGGGAACATGCTTGACCGTCATGTCTCTGTGGTTCATTTCCTCCAGGGATGGGTGTAAGGGGATGACCTTGCTGTTGTTCACTTTCTAGGATTGTGAGTGCACTGCTTTTGGTCCATTGTTTATTTGCTGGAGGTCGCTGTCTCTGCTGGGCTGCCCATCTGCTGGGACCAGCAATTTCTGCTGATGGCTCTTTGTCCCAGTTTTGACACTGCAGAGCTGGATTTCACTGCCATGTGTCAGCACATGTGGAAGCAAACTGCTCTGACATGTCCCAGCTGTTGAAATTGAACACTGTAAGGAAAAGCGGCCAATGGTGCAGTGTGGCTGCACCAAGGTGCTGCAGACCAATCGTACAGCATTTGCAGTTTCACAAACCTGAGGCAAGTATCGTTTCCCTCGTCACACCAACTTGGATCACCCCCAGATGATCCGGCCTGACTGCAAGAATTGGCCTTGTGCAAGGTCCTTGCTGACTTGCCGTTTGCTTCGGTAAATAATTGCGGTTTTGGCAAATAGATGCGCCTTCTTTGGTTTTCAACGGCTTGATAACGCCACATCAAGAGTCGATTGGCGCCGCCGTCGGATGGTCGTTCAGTTTCTAAAGATGAGGGTGCTTGTCTTCGCTGCCCGCAATGTCCGACTCACGTGTTTTGGGATCTCCAGGCCTCGGGCTGCTGCTAGCATGAGTATGTCAATCTGCTCCTTCACGACGGCCTAAGGCAGGCAGGCACGAAAGTGAGTCGCTCGAAATAGGGCGAGTCAAAGGGGAACGAAAAGCAGTGATCAGCAAATAGCGTGCTGGAAACAGATCTACCACCAGCGCAGGGGTGTATTGACGCAGGCAGCTGCAAAAGAGTGCAGATTCTTTTGCCTGCAAATGGAACCAACTTTGGTCAGTCAGGGACACAGCGGTGTTGCTCCGTGATGCCTGTCAGCGCCCAGCCGGGCACGGTTCTTCAAGGTTCTTGCGCTGGGCCTGAGGACCATGCGATTGTCAACTCTCCCTGTTGAGTGCCTGCACAGGTATCAATGCCTAGATGCACTAGATGCCTAGGTGCAGGTGTCAACTGCACACCTCGGGCAGCACAATTTCGGGTGCCCCTCTGTACGTCCTCTCCTCGAGCCTGAATTCAGGATTCGCACACAGCCTGGCGTTGGCAAGGATCCGCCGAGACGCCACTGCCAACGGCTCGCCTTTCTCGATCGCATGGGAACGGGTCAGATACACGACGTCCCTCTCTGGAGACAGCCGTCGGTTGAGCCACTCCACCATTTCAGTGGGCTTGTTGTCGAGGCTTGCCATCACGGTCAAGTGATCGGTGTCTGCAGTGCAATGGATCGTTGTTTCGTTCAGAAACTGCGTGATGACTGGCGCACCGGAAACAAAAGCGTTTAGTCTCCGAAGGTCTCCATCGCCTAATTGTGGATAGGCGCCATTGTAGAATTTGGGAAGGAAAACCACGCGCGTACCCCAACGAAGCAATCAAATCCCAAGGGCGCTAAGCACCGCGAACGACTCGTTGTCACTCGAACCGTGATGCACTGTTACTCCGGGATTGCCGGCGTTGCTTGAACAGGAGCACGAGTTGCAAGCAATGAGCCATTTCCGCCTGCATTTGCCCCGCATTCGGCCTCTCTTCACAACGTCGGCGACCACGCCAGCTCGTCGACCGCACCTGGCATCCTGAACATCTTTCCGTGACTATCTCCCCTGACCACCAGCATGTTGACGTCGTTGATGTGTTTGAGGGCGTGAATGACGAAGGACCCCATTTTGTCCATGTCATCGGCACACAACACCACCAGGCTCGCGCCCACGGCGGCAATGTACTCCTGCAGCGCCTGGATGCATGGCCTGTCCGGTCCGGTGTACAGGGCCTCACGGATCATCTGCCCATTGAAGTCCATTTCCTTGTCCTTAAACATCTGCAGCACGCTGTCTGTTTTGTCAGACGTCGGGCCCCAGGTTACCACGTGCATCCTGTGAACGGACAGCACACAGGAGGCGCACAACACCGAGTCAGGCAACTGGCCGCTGGGAAGCAGTACATCACATGCAAGATCCGCATGCCTGTGCAGAACGGCGCCTCTCTACAGACAGTGGCGCTTCGTTGCGCGTTGATCGAAACGAGAATTGACAACACGTTTAAACATAGAAGCAACAAGTAGGGATTTGCAATGAAGGCGGTTGGGCTTTCACTGTGTACACAGCAATGGCACCGTCACGCGCAATTCCCAGTGTCATTATGCGTGCACCGTTGCCAAGAAGATCCCGTGCATGGCCGCAGATTCTACCCCAGTGGCACTGTCAAATCCAAACGCACACGGTGGGCAGCCGACACCGCTTGACGCGATGAAGAGCACAGCGGAATCTCTATGGCGCTCCCCGGCCCGGACCACCGAGAGACACAACAGCAGACTTCGTGGGTACATGAACGGGGGGAATACTGGACACCAGTGACGCACTATCTGCGTTCGTAGTGGTACAGCACTGCAACAAGGTATGTTTGCTTGAGGCGCAGACAGATCGTCCCTCTTGTTGTCGAAAATCCTTCCCTTTGTCAATCATCCGGAGTATCCCAAACTGCAACCTACACATGTCTGCACTTGATTGCAAACAAGTGCGTCGTCAGTGCTTGCGGCCGGCAGTGCCACGCCGCGACCCTGGGAAAATATCCATATCAAATACACCTGTGCGCACCACGCATGCGCCTTCGTGTCCACGCCCGTGTTCAGACACGCCCAACCCACGTCAAAACCCTGGCGAAACGCGTTGTTGCATCCGCGCTGACCTGTCTGCCAGACGCGCCACAAACTTGCTGGCCATTTTCACGGCCATCTTGCTCTGTATCCCGCCGTCCGCGAGAACCACCATCCTCAGGGCGCCCCGCTCCTCCTCGCAGCCCATGGACCTCAGGCGATTGGATCCCTGGCACATGCCAATGGCCAGCAGCCTGAATTGGCGCTGCCTGTCCTGCGCCGCCAGCACGTCCGCGGCGTTGTACAGCCAGTCGCGGTCGAAGGCCCTGCCGCGCCGGGAGTAGCCGGAATCCTCCCGGGCCGCAACCGCCGCGCAGCGCGCACCTGGGATAGCGGTGATATCCGCCATGTCAAAGCTGAGGTAGGCGTAGCAGGAGTGCTGAAAAAGGACGACGACAGAGAGAATCACCACGGGGACGGGAAGCAGCGCATGGCACGGCAAGGCGTGAGGCCTGCAGGCAGCTGCCGCTGGCAGGGATGCGATGCTGTATTCGCTGTAGTGATGATGCGCACTGAAAGCCGTGGAAGGTCGGGTGAGTCAATTGATTTCGTACAACACGTCGTGCAAATGTTTGTTCCATAGACAACATCGCCGACGGGGAATACATGCCGGGACTTACCAGGTGGGTATATACATGCGTCAGAGCAGTCTGGCAGAAGATGTTCGCGTCGTACAAATAAAGTACATCGATGGTGTGGGCACAACTGAATGAACGGAGGATTCCACAAAACAAAATAGTCCGCGCTGCCCATGGATATCGCAAACACTTGATGCACACTGCATTGTTCTTGCAAAATTGCCCCTCAAAGCTGCATTCTTCGATTCACGGTTTGGACAGCTTGTTGCAGACTTTCCGGTGAGTGCTCAAATTGCCCCTTGGCTCCGCACGTGCGCTGAAACTCTATGAACAACTGATTCACTGGGGTCGATTTCCAGCGGTGCGTCGCGAGGCTTGGCCTACCTTTATGTCAATATCCGGGTGGAACACAGAAGG